AAAGGTCTGCGATCTCCTCTTCGGATAGTATCTTTGGCGTGGCCATATATATCTGTGGACACATGTTTTTTGTGTCTAGACACCTATGGATCCATGGACAAACACTATGGATCCATATGGTAGATACCTGTTTGTCCACAGATATAGCATGTATTTGTACATAGCTACGGGTATAGCTGCATACATGCTGGGAAAACAGCGGACAATACAAATACTTTTGGAAATCTTGGAAGGTCTCTACCGAGCGCAAAAGACAATACGGGAAGTTCGCCTACCGGGCTACGTAGCGACTTTGGCACAACTACCACGGCGTCGATAGGGGAACGGATCGTTCCTCTCCCATCTTTTGGAACACAAAAAAAGGTAGTCGAAACATGGTTGTCCACTGACAATCCATACACTCACAAAGATTTAACCTTATTGTTAACATTCTGAGACACTCTTTGAAATAGCATTTCTTGGGGCCCCTGCTACCATGGAGAGGCATTTCGCCTCCACCTACTTCCCTATGGACATTTCTGGTGCTTGCTACCAGCGCAGAGGACACAAAAAAATACTACTTTGTGCCTACCAGTAGAAAAGGTAGTCGAAACATGGTTGTCGAGGCACTGACAATCCATACACTCTTCTAACATTCATGCATATATAAGACAAATATCTTAACATTCGCGCAACATATAACAGAACACGGGTAATTCCCGCGGGGGACGCTAGTGTATAAACACGGGTAATTCCCGGGCGATTCCGAATGGTGATCGCGAGTCCCCCTTACTGCCTACGGGTTTGGTACGGGTAAGGTGGACAAATCGGATATTTGCCTAAAAGTCCGTAGAGTTGGCTCAGATAATTCCCGAGGGGGCCGCCGTTACGTGGGGGCAGATAATCCCCGGCGTATTCCGAACAGTGACCGCGAATCCCCCTTACTGCTGTTATAGCAAAGACGATGCAGTGTTTTACAGTCAAACAAGCTTACGCGTTGACCCCCAGATTCGATTAATGAAATCATTATTCAATTATTCCTTTTATACGTACGAAACGGAATATTGCAATATTCAAATGAAAATTCAGTTCGATATTCGACTCGTGATGAAGAAGATAAATCATCTAAATTACAGATACCTTCGAGCAGAAGTCGCTCTCTTATTTTCATAAACATAGACACTAGGTTTTGTAATTTCCATGTCTCAATTACTTGGAGGATATTATCAGTAATTTTGTAGGGAACGCTCCCGCCTTGAGCGAAATGGAGACACAGTTCCATGTCGTCGATAATGTTGAAGTTTTTTCTGTACTCCCCAACTAGAACTTTTCAGTTGTCGCGAAATTGCTTTATTGGACAATCCGGTATTGCCGAGATGAACAATTTCCTGTCGAATAACATCAGGTAAAGGCTTGCCCGGCACATAAACACGGCCAAGAATATTTCTGGCCGCCATGTTTTCTTGGCCTTCCGGCTGTGTTAGCACTGGTTAACCAATCAAAATGTATATATTGAATTTGAAGTTGATTGGAATTTTCATATCTTCGTTTTCGACTTTGTAAATTTCAACTGAATAATGAAATCAAATTTCGAAAACTCAATTCATTAAGGTGGCTGCCTACTTTTGAACGTTCGATTTGAGCCCACGATGTGCGCGCGGTCAAAAACCGCTGAAAAATCTACAAGATTTTATTGAAGGACCATACGCGTTTTGAGCTTCAACAGGGCAAAACCCTCAAATTTTGCACCGGACTCTCTATTTTTTAATAGTTCATTCGAAAAAACTTCTAAAAATCTATGTTATATCAACATTTTAGAAAAAGTTTAAGTCAGCAACACATGAAAAAATTGATTTTTGTAGTGATTTTTTTTCGACTTTATGAGATTTTTTAAGAGCGCCGATACTACAAATTATGGCAAATCGATGTGTCTCTTTGTCTTTTTGTCGAAAATATCCATGAATAATTATAGAATGATTGACTAGCCTTCATTCATGCAATCATATAGTCTGCATATAACTATTATCTTATGAATCTTAATTTTTTTCTAATAACTTCCGGTGGCGCAATTTTTACTCCAAAAGCTCGAGCGTAGGCTTCCATTAAATGCTGATTATCTCTAAAACAAGCTCAGGACACCCTATTTTTCCTTTCAGATTTCGAATCAGTATTAAATTTCAATTCGGAAAATCGAAGTTTAAAAAAAAGCTTAAATCAATTTCCAAAAGTAGGCATTCACCTTAATCGACTCTAGGGGTCGACGCGTGAGCTTGTTTGACTGTAGTCTATTCACTTACATCGAAGTTTTGGTTTTTTTCATCCCTTTGAATGGCCGTCCTGTTAAATTGATGAATTTATTCTTATTTAAGAATCTGTAAAAAAGACATGTGTACATGTGATTGCAGGGTCAAATAAATGCGTTTTAAAAAATTCCTTCTCGGGAACTGGGTGCAGCGAATCACAGCGCCGTGTGAAAGACGTCAGTAAGGATTAGGCATGACGTGAGTTCATTAATATTACAAAACTTTAGCATCAAGTTTACCACTAACCGCTAGGGATAAGGTACAGAAACATCCCTGCAAACACGGAGAAAATAGCATCCCTATTTTAAATGCTTATGTCAACATGTGACGTAATTTACATGCGATTCTATTTGACTCCTCAGTTTCTATCCTCGGGGGACTAGCGTGAGTTCTTAGTCGTATAATGGTCGGATTTTGATCGGTTCTTGTTCGGTTATCTTGTCTTCATTTTTTGTACTTTAATCGACTTATACAACCGAGTGTACAAGCAAACGAGCTGAGACATGAGTGAACCAACCAACTGAAATAGATTTTGTGCTACAAGCACTCTTAGTACGACGTTCTTGATAGGCACCGCAAATCTCAAACTGCAGTTGTTGCTGGAAGAGCCGCCATATTGAATTTGATTCATGCCGATAGAGCAGGGGGGAATTTTGCGAACGCTGGCCAAAGAAATCGCGGGCTCCCACATAAAAGCGTCAGTTTGTTTACTTTTCGAAGGATTTGTAGTGAAAGGTGATTTTATTCAGATATTTTCCGTAGGAAACTTGTAGGAAATGGAGGATTTTCGCTGAAATTAAATCTGTGGCATTAGTTCTACCCTATGAAAGGTACAAAAGGACTTTTATCTCGCTGAATTTTTTTTTTTTAAACTTTGATCAAGTCACTGGTGGCTTTGATGGAACCCTTGCAGCACATGGTCTTGGCTCAAACAACTTCTAAAAAAAGAAATCAAAACTTTTTTGAAGGATTTCTTGAATTACATACTGATTAAGTACATCTAGCCTACCAAATGTCTTATGAATACGACGATGTTTGGATGTCCCAACGCTTATCAATGCATTTTACCTGGTCATGGAGACTAAGTTTGGCTAAGCCTTGAAAAACTCGAAGTTTGGTCACTTAAAAAGAAGGAGAAAGGTTAGTAACTGCATTGCTTTTGCAAATGATACTTTGATGTTCTTCAATGAATACATTTTGTTTGACATGTTTAAACAAATGTGTGGAAAAATTCATCAGAAAGATTCTAATCTTCGATTTTTTGACTCAATAACGAATTTTTTTGAAAGCAGTGTAGCTCAAAATCTAACCGATCCCTCCAATAAAATTCTTTCATTTTACTTTTCTTTACGTATTCAACCACTCATTTAACATGATTATAACATCAGAAAAATTCGGCCGGGCATGAAAATATTTTTTAAATTTACGTATGCACAAAAACTTCCGATTTACGAGAGGTTAAGAGTTACGGCGGCAGAACCTATAATTCTTGGTGCCCAGTTTTAATTATATATTAAAATTATCCTTTGAGGTCCTGTCCTTCGACCTCCATAAAACAGCTCTTTTTAAAGTTAATTTGTGAAGCTCCTTTTTTTCACGAAACATTTGTTAACTGTGATTTAGAACTTTGAGAAAGAAGCATAAACTTGTCGATCTTTTTTGCTCGAAATCTAGCCGAACCCTCCAAAATAAAATTCACGTCAATAGAGCCTTTATACACTGGAGAACCAAAATATTTTGAAATAAACTTTCTAAAAATTCGGGAAACCACATTTTTAGCTGATTGAAAACGCGTGACGAGAAACAATCTATAGCTGTCGTACGTAAACCCGAAACAACTATTTACGTATTCCAGGTAAGGAAAAATACTTCTGGTAGAATTTATGTTTTCTTCACAATGACGTTTACTGACAATGCATTTTTTCTCTGATAATTTTCTTGTACATGAAACAGCAAATAGCAGGAAAAAGGAAATAATTGTGGTTTTCGTAAGTGAATAAGGCGCCATCTTTGTTTACAAATTTAAAGTTTCCCGCTTACCAGAGGAAGCCCGCGCGCGATGAAAAACAAAAAGCGTACGCATGCGCAGACAAAATTCCCCCTGCTTGCCGATAGTCTAAGTGCTAAGAATAATAGCGAGTATTCACATAACAATAGACATCCCATCATGCATTGATATACATATATTAGCGTGAACACTCCCTTTTGTCTCACTCTCATCTACAACGCCGAACAACTGGTTCTGACCTCCCCACCTCCCCCCCCNCCCCCCCCCTATATGACGCGTTGTAAAACGTTTCCCCTGGCACACGCGAGTATATTGCTGGCCACTCCTGTGAACAGCTACCCATTTTCTCGCATTTCCATATCTAAATATGTTATGCTAGCGTGTATTGTTAGCATGTGAATATATTACTACCTTGCCCCCGCGATCTGGTCATCTAGAACATTATAACTATTCACTTTTACTGGGTTTCAATCCTGGTGATCAATACTTACAGATAGTCAGGAGAGAGATTTGAAAATACTCCATCGGGTAAATGACGAATGTTGTTATTGAATAAGTACCTAAAGAAATAAAAATAAATTGAGTAAGAAAGATTAATAATACGAACGAACGAACGAACGAACGAACGAACGAACGAACGAACGAACGAACGAACGAACGCGAAACTCTTCCGAAAACTGCGAATCAGTGAAACATTTGTCGTTCTATCTAAAACCCTGTTTTGATGCTTATATTTGATTAGTTATCTAGAACTTCTTTACAAAATCCTTATTAAGGCTTTAATATTTGTAATACACCGTTCTCATAAAATGGCTGAAAAGGGCAGGAAAACGAGGTCACCCAGTCATTAGTTCACAATATGTATCATAAAAGTACATTAGAATGAGTTTACAAGAGAAAAGTATAGAAATGTAACTCTTGTTTTGACCTGTATTCCAGCTATCCACCTTTATTCTGAATGAACAGCCTTGCTCAGCCTTGCAAGATGATTAGGTGACCTCGTTTTTGTGCGCTCGTAAGCCTTTATGAGAAGGGTGTATAGGAGGTGGCCTGAACAAAGGCAATAATAAATATAACGGTATGCAAGATAAGATGCGAAGATCACCGGATAGGGTAATGCAAATGCAATGGAATTGATGGCTTTTCGTTGACAAAAAGAGAGCCCTTTTGATCTGATTTGAAGAGTAGAAACCCCTCCCTCCCTCTCTCTCCAAAGTACTAGTCATCAAATTCGTTTACATATTATAATTTTCTAAATATAGGGCTAGTGATTGGGTTATCTTTAGCAGAGAAATTCTAATTTACCGTTTATATTGTTATTAATAAAATTTCTGGTATCCATCCTAACAAGAGCGATAAAATAGTTAAATACTAAGACCAAAAGCATTTACAGCATTTTACCAAATTTTGGATTATTGCTAACAACTTACAATGTCTTGAGGTTTGGTAAACCTGCAAAACTTTCACTGTGAACAAACTCGATTTCGTTGTCGTACAAATATCTAAACAAAAGAAGAAAAAACAAAGTTATACTTGCTATGGATAATGTACAGAAAATGAATGAGTGAAAATTGGAGAGCCTAACATTTCATCTAACAAGGGAGGGAGGGAGAGAGAGAGAGAGAGAGAGAGAGAGAGAGAGAGAGAGAGGCTGGTGACAAACATCTTCAGTGCCAGTGACACTTCAGGGCCCACAACAATTGGCGCAAGCTGTTGTGTTGTCTTTGCTCTCACGGGAAAAATCAAAATGGCGAAAAGAAGACGAGGAGGAGAAAGTATGTGTAATAATAGATATTCACTTACAAATTATTTGTGATCTGAGGTGTTTTTGGATTTTCGAGAAATCGAGGGGGGATTTCCTTGATTCTGTTGCTTGAAAGATCCCTGAAATAAATGGGGGGAAAACACCTTTAAAGATTTTATTTTTTAAGTATTTACGAGTCGACAAATTGTGCTAACCATATTTCCCACTACATGCTATTTATGACTAGTTCTTTAAATACTCAATCATGATTGGCTTATTTTTATAAAAGTTTGTTTGGTTGGCCTTTACTGTACTTTGGGTTCCAGAGAGATTTTTTTCGTGGATTTACTGTTTTTAAGCATGCTACTCCTATTTTCAAAATTACGCGACCGGCGCTGCTCACTACTGGTCTCGTTTTCTGTTTTGTCTGTTGTCAATCAAATACGGGAACGGCTTGCTCTTGCGAAATCCTTTCGTTGTAAATTCTGAAACGAAGCAATCTTGTCTTTCGTTCTGTTATATTCAAGCGGTTGAAACTTTAAGATCATTTTGGGCTTTTTTGCATGAAAATAAATTGTCCGAAGTTTGATTGACGGCACCTAAACCACAAGAAATACCTTTCAAGTGCTAACTACACAGGTCGCGTAAATTTAAAAATAGATTCGCCGCAAAGATTCGCTGATTCCGTGAAAAAAGCCCTTTGGGAGCCAGCGTACCTTTACTGTAACTCTTAAATCAATTACATTCCTATAGTTTTGTATAGAATTCGTACATCAGGTATAGTATTGTTTTTGTATATTGTTAAAACTTACAAAGTACGGATACTAATGTGTCTGCCTAAATCCTCAGGAATCACTGAAATTTGGTTGTTGCTGAGCAACCTAAATACATATACAAATCTATAAATTAAAACGATGAAATATAAAACACAAATGATATTAATCTTCTCAATCTTATTAACTATTTATGAATTTTTACACCAATGGTATGCATGCATTTAGGGTCACGTGTATATCCTGCTCGTACACACCTAATCCAAAACTCCAACCGTTTGCAGTGCGTGCATGAGCGCTAAGTATGGTTTTAATTTATTGAGGGGTTCACTGTGTCCCTGGCTTAGTGCCTGGGACGACAGGGCTGAAAAACATATGCGCACATGTCAAATTGTCCACAAAAGGAACGAAAACAAAAAAATGGCGCCTTAAAAACTTGGTTTGAGAAGAGCCAGTGGTCGCAATATACCTTCTCATTGAACCTTATTATCCAAACCTCAGTTAAAAAAACTGCAACCTCTGATCGCCAGGTAGCCACTTTGTTTTGATGGTCACGTGATCAAAATGTCCAGATATCTAAGAGAATTCGATCACGTGGTCCAAGCTAACACCAGGGTCTTCTCTGCGACGATGGCCATATTTGAATTGGAGTCGGCCGAGAGGACCCTGGGAACAAAGTTAGGTAAGCCTGACCGCTGACCGTTTTTTAACTCTGTTGGACGGTGACAAAAACCCACCTGCCTACTCCCCTGTGTAATGCACATATAAACTCGTTAAGTATCAGTCATGTTCAGAAAAACCTAGACATGGATTTGAACTTACAGGTTTTCTATTTGTTTGATTCCAGACTGCGTCAGCAAAGAGGTATCTACGATGTCATTTTTACGCAAAGTCCTATAAAGCACAATTAGTATTGTATGATGTCATGTTACGATTTTATGCATGTGTGCAATTCGCTTTTGAGTTAAGCTTAATTAATGAAACTTATATCGTTGGCGTGGGATCCCTGTGGTTTTAGACATTTTGGGCTACCTTTGTCAAGGGCCAGGTTTCTCAGCAAGATTCAAGACGAGTGACAATAGACCCTTTTTGAGTTCCAAATTACCGCTGTGTTTCTTGATCACAGACTCATTTGCTCAGGGTTAGCTTCGATTTTGTGAAGAATATTCATGTCTTCCAGTCAAGGTCCGTCAATTTTCAAAGTGTTTGTATTGTTGAAGTTGTGCATTCTTTACTTTACCGTTGGTATTTGTGAATATTTAGACACTGATTTGAGGCTAAGCCTGAGTAAATGAGTCTGTAATCAAAAAACACAGCGGTAGTTTGGAACTCGAAACTGGACTATTTTAAGTGTTCTTCGATAGAATATCTGCACTTTTGATTCATATTCTCGACATTTAAAGCTTTTTTTTAAAAAAAAACCAACAACAACAAAAATAAAAAACACCAAAAAGAGATCTTTGTTTACTTCCAAATAAGGTAAGCTTTGGCCAAATTTTGATAATAAGTCGATAGCCACACAAAGGACAATTTTATTTTGGAGAAAGTTTCATATATAATTTTTATAGCAGTACATCAAACTTACTGGTTTTTTTTGTGTGTGTGTACACTTTTAACTGAAATTTAACTCCTTTTTTTAAGTCTAGATCACTGTTTTCTGTTCACTAGGCGCTAAGCGATAGAAAAAACTCATAATCGAATTTCCGTGATCAAAGTCTTAAATTCTGAGATATTCTCGCTAAATAGTTGAGCTTGTGGGACATAGCAACGGTAACTAAGGTGAGTCGGAACCGCGAATTGATGGTATTCACAGCCGCCATGTTGGATGAATTACACGAAAGATTCGTCGGTCATTAGTAGCTTTTGCTATATCATCCAACATGGCTGCCGTGTTATTTTATTATTTTCGGAACGATTGAAAATAAGCAATTGATAGAACTATCTTGCATATATTTCTTCGCTACTGTTACTGTACTAAGCTCGTGCACTATAAATAGACACCAGAGTAAAACGTTTGCGCGTTTTCTAAAGATATAGAGGAAGTGCAAGTTACGTCATTGCCGCCATCTTAGTTGACGATGGCAATGCATTCCTCATAAGTTTCTCTTGTTAGATCAACCAAGATGGCGGCTGTTTCATTGTTATTCATATCTCAAGGGATTTTGAGTCACGTGGTTGCACACACTCTATAGAAGGGTTTAAGTGAAGAAGTATGTGTTCCTTTTCTCTGAGTATACAAAAAAAAAAAATTGCGAGAATACTTTTCTGAGACCAAGGTACTGTATTAATAAAAGATAATTTGAAAGAATTAGCCTGAAGTTCAGTTTCTAGTATTGACTCTAAATTTTGGCATTTTGGAAAGTCCATTTATCAGGCATGGTTGAAAGTCTTGCATACGCGGTTAGAGCATGCGCAGACGTTTTTTTCTTGTGTCCTGCATGTTATAATTTCTTTCTACTCMCAAATCAATGAATTCTGGAAATCCTGTTAGGTTAGGGAAGGAGGATAACTGATTCCCATCTAGACCTCTATAAAACAGTGAAAAATAAATCAGTAAATCCCTTGGGATTAAAAATGTTCGTGGTGGATTTGGCGGAACCACATAAGCGTTGCTTAAATTTTATAAAACTAGTTGAGTGTAGGGACCCGTCCGGCTTTCCCTCCCAGTCGCATGCCACGCCTCGTTTGGCCATAGGGGTCAGTTTTTAAAACACTTCAATTGAACGAGGGAAATGCAACCATTAGCCGAGCCGAACCAGGAACCTTCCGTAGACCGGTTATAGGGGGTTGAATTAGATTGCCCTTCTGGTCCAGCAAATCAGTAGATGGCCCTCCTGAACAGGTTAATGGTGGACACACGACCAGACCATAAATTTAGTCGAGCACAGGGTCGCCACACGACCAAACTACCTAAACACGGTCCAACACTACCAGACCATGAATTTAACTAAAGGTCGACACACGACCAGACCAACAAAGCATGTAATGCATTACGTGTTATACATAACCCTTAAAAATCTAACTAAGAATCTACTAGAGTGCAAGCAATTAATCCGTGAAACACTAATTACTAAATAGTACAAAATAGTGGTAGTTGAACAATAGAAAACGATAGAATTTGCATGAAATTGTGCTATTTAATATTGCTAAACATTGGAAAAAATTGCCCATACATTTGGAATATTTGCTCTTTTCGGTCTTTTTCCTCTCTTTCCAAAGCAAAAGGTTGTTCTTAAAAGTAAAATTATATCGGCACAAGTAAACTGCTTGACAAAACATCCTAAATGACCCGTAAATCTTCTGTTCTTTCGCTAACTAGTAGTTAGCATGTTTTCGAGGCTACGAAACCTAAGAAACCTTAAAGTGCACATGAACCCTTCGACAATACTTTCAGTACTGATTCTACACGAAGTAAATAGTTGAATGGTAAAATATTTCTTGATTTGAGTGATGCGTTTCTAAGTTATGAAGGTTTATACTTCCAATATGCTAATGAGTGTGACGTCTATTAAGGCTTAATCAAATATACAAAATCGAACTGGTTCATAGAAACAGTATTTAAAAAGCATCATTATTTTACTCATGGTTTACATGAAAGCTATTTACAATTTTTATTTTCAAAATGGCCAGCATTTAGTATTACTAGTTACAACAAAAACACTCAAATACCTTACCTGACGTCATCATCATTAACATATTGGAAGTATAAACCTTCATAACTTAAAGACGCATCACTCAAATCAAGAAATATTTTACCAATCAACTATTTACTTTATGCAGAATCAGTACTGAAAGTATTGTCGAAGGGTTCATGTGCACTTTAAGAGGCGAATGTATAGGCCAACAGATAGTATGAGCTTATAAAATCAGCAAAAATACGGTTCTAAATTTCAACAAATTCCTATGAATTATATACCAAAATGTTCAGGAAAGCCAGGGGTTTTCAAATCCACTTCTGTTTTTTTTTTTGACAGTTCCTGTTTCATATCAAGGAGAGACGATTTTCTATACTGCATAAGACTTTCGTACTTGTTAGTATCGTGTAACGTTCGTAATCAGATGACGTAAAACGACGCTTAAACGTTTAATTATCGATCTGCTAACATCTTAGTGAGCGAGTGAGTGAGCGAGTGACACACTTTCATATTCAGACCCCTCACAATAACTCGTTTCTACTCTTCGCGTATCCACGAGTTAAAAATGCCCACATTCTTAATAAAAATCCCACTTGAAAAATAATCCAACATTTCCCTTTTCTGCGATTCTCAATCCTCATTTGCTACAAATCATCACGTGGTGATATATCACTTGAGCTGTCTTGGCTCTATAAGAACAGTTTTTCAATCAGCTGCTTCAGGGAAAAATCCAAGAAAGGAAATTGGAAATTAGATTACAGACATTAATCAATAAATCATTTTATTTGCAGTTTTTTTTTTCTTTTTTCTTCTTCTTTGTTTTTGTTTTTGTTTGTTTTTGTTTTGTTTTTGTTTCTGTTTTTGTTTTTTTTATTTCACATGATTTTTTTTGTTTCTTTTTGGTTTCTTTTGCCTTACTTTGAGATTGTTATAGTATTTTTTTATTAGATTAGATTAGATTAGATATTAAATTTGTAATAATTCATTCTGAAAAGCCAAATTGGGATGAATCAATAATTGTATTGTATGTTGTATTTTATATATAGGTTATCAATCGGCTAAGCATCTGATACGGCTGTGTATTTTCACGTGTCACGGAGTATTTTGGCGAGCCTTTAGGCGAGTCGATAAGGTGTTTTATGATGCAATTCGGCAAAGAAATGCTCAAACTCTCTCTAAACTCTATCGTACCCAGCGCGAGCAGATGAGAAGTGCTGATACGGCCTCATATCAGGCATGGTCTTTTTTCATATCACGCACATTCTTTGCATAATTAAATGATAATGTGTCATAAAGCATCCAGACTTAAAGCGTGATTGCGCTGATTTACAAATATATATCAAAAATCTGAGCACCGCCATTCAACTCAAAAAGTACGGTGGTTTTCTTCAATAGAATTCAATCTAAACCATATAATACAGTCCGTGAATAGTTGAATTAACTGAATCCACTTCTGCTATTTACCTAGATAGTCATTATTTTGTGAAAAGATCCAAAAACCGTGTTTTTGAGACATAATTCGTATGCGCTCACATGAGGGGGCGTGAGCTTGAAATCGTAGCTGACGAAATGTTAACAGATTTTTTCTGATGTCTAGTAATATGTAATATAACTTACAGTTTAGCAAGACCACTAACGCCTTCAAAAGCCCCGTCTTCGATGTCAGAAGTCCAATTGTTAAGTTCCCTTAAAAATATCAGAAATGAAGCATTATTACTCTACTTGCGTTTGTGTTTAAGGGTTTCTCGGTGACAGTTTCCACTCAGAAAGTCCAAAAAGGGAAGTTGAAATTTTTACACAACTGCGTCTGAGTGCAGCGCAAACTACACACAAACAAATAGCTATTCCAAAACCTGTTGTCGGTTCGAGATCTGAAATGGACAATCTAAAAGGAATTTTTGTGCGTTTTCTGGCTAAAATACGAAAAATTCACATTTCTAAATCACAGGTAATATTAATTTGAATAGACATTTAATTTTTTCGGCTGTTAATATTGACCTAATTTACCATTTTCGACCACTTGTCATTCCCTTGAGCATCATTTCTTCAGATCTCCAACCGACAGCGTATTTTGAAATAGGTGTTATAAACCCCATAATGTCCCATGCAAAATACTTCCACACTTACAGCCAAAGTGATGTTTCATTTTTTGGACAACTGATTCCCCGAAATGCTCCTCTTTTCAAGGTCCTTATATTGTTTCCAGTTATCGTCCTGATGAGGACAGAATACCCATTAATCTTACATGGAGGAGATAATTAGGGGTGAAGCTTCTAGTGTCAATTGCAACTTTTTACTTATATTTGTCCTTTCATTCTTTTATATTTTCTTTTTTTTTTTCTTTCTTTCACATTTCATTTCCTTTCATATGTATTTCGATTCGTTCCAGTCGTTTTTGCTTCGTCGGTAAAACGAAACTCAATATAACGCGCTATCATTGGCGTAATTACACCCTTTTTCAAAATTACGCGATTCTTCTTTTTGATTATGATTTGATGATGGCTTGTAATTAATATATCTCCCTTTCTATGTAGATAATATGATAAGGCACTTTACATCGAGTTAAGAATTCCAGATTGTTTTTTTTAATGCAACTTAAAAACACGAGAGGTTGTTAGTATGAGGTGTAGGCAGTGAGGGTGGTAACTACCACGGTTTCTTTACGTCCTCAGTGGTTTTTTAAAAATCCCTCCGATATTGGTTAATTATGATGAAGTATGGAAAAACGGGACCGCCATTTAAAGTGATCATCCGAGCCACTTAAAAGTCTAACCATTTGCAGGTGTAATTCAGTTTAAAAGCAGCACTTTCTCCTCAGTTATTTTAAGACACTGAGCGTTAGTCCGGCCGGGACTCGAACTAGGACCTGATGTTCAACCAACTTTGCCAACCGGGTGACGGGAAAACTGTTCAGAAAGTTTCTGTTGTTTTGTTCACCAATATGGCTGCCTTGTCACGTGAGTGAAAACGCTCTAGAGATTGTACTTGTATGATGAAAAGATTTTAGCTTAATTTGGCTGGTGTGAATACAATCTACACTAAAAATGCTGCTGATGACAGTACCAATAAGTTATAGCTTAAATACCAGTTTTAGCTTCTTGTCTATTATCTTTAATGATAAGTAATGATTGATACAACACTTACAACCATCTCAAATTGGTGAGTCCTGAAAACATATTTTCTCCAACATCTTCCAGCAAGCAGTTCGCCAAAGTTCTGTTGAATATCATAGCATTACTAGTTACGTTAGTAAATTTAAGATTAGATCAGCTCAGTTTAACTCACTTTTATAACTCATGAGAAATACTTAATAAGGTGCTGACACACGGTGCAACATCGCGCGCAACAAATTTCATCATGTGAACATGGCTACAACATTACCTGCAACATTTAACAATTTCCAGCCAATCAGCTTGCACCAAACTTATAACTGCTGACCAAATATCTTAACATAGCAGGCCGACTCAAGCGATGTTGCGTGATTTTGTTGCAATGTCTGTCACACCGATTCAAATTTGTTGCTTGCAATGTTGCGTGTAATGTTGCACCGTGTGTCAACATGCAACATGCAACATGCAACATGCAAAATGCAACATGAATCATTTCCTTTTTAGATCAGTATGATTCTATATCTTTTAGATAACTATCAAAGCCTAATATTATCGCAGTACTTACAATTCAATCACATTTTTAACGCTAGAAAATGTGCCAGGGACGAGTTTTTCCCCCAGTGGGTTCCATGACAAATGACTAAAATGAATAAATCACACTTAAGACATGCATATAATAAGCACATAGAGTTCATTCCACCACACTCCACTAGACCTTAAAATGTCGGTGACAAGTTCAGAAATTTTAAGAAAATAAATGTTGTTCACATTCTATTTAAAAGAGCTTGTCCGTTATCCCAGAACTCCTTGTTAATTAACGCACCCTGTGCTAAGTAAACCGGTAGATTGTAAAATAATAAAAAGCCTTTGCATTGTTGTTTCATTGAAAATAGAGTAACTTACAGGGCTCGTAGTCTGGTAAGACCATCAAACATTCCAAAAATAGTAGATGCGTT